TTTTAACTTGATTGACTTTGTGAACACCCTATCTTCAAGTAAAATCACATGGTAAAATTTATGAAGCTTACTTTAGTAGTTTAATTTTTCTACTGTAACTTTTACATATTATTTTATCAGAAATAATTCTTACCAACCTGTGTATAATGGAACATTGAGGAATGTGTTTCTCTATATAGGATAGCTATTTGAATAATAACTTGAATACCTAGAAGAAATCTGATCAAGATCATTATCTGTGCATGCCATGTGATGAGTGAATGTAATACAATAATATAATGTTAGGATTTCAACATGTGAATTTTGGGGTACACGGTTCAACCCATGACATACTCTTATCTCTTATTAGTGTCTACTTATTGAAAAACTTGAAATGACAACTGATGGACTGGGTTTGGGCAATGAGATGAAGAGGAAATAAATAATTTTTCCTATATGTCATATATCCAATTGTGTTGGATTTCTTGATGAAAGTCATAGACTAAAATTGTGGCTCACTAATTTTTGTTTCCTTATGTCACAATGGCAAAAAAAAAATTGGTTTAAAATATTTTTTTTTAATGGACAAAGTAAACTGATGAACAATAGAAGCAGAGGCATGGGTACATGCATGGAACAGACTGCTCTCAGAGTGGGGTGTGGGGCTGGATGAAAAAAAAGGTGAAGGGATTAGCAAAACACATACGTATAACACATAGACACAGACAACAGTGTGGTGTTAGCCAGAGGGAAAGGGGTTTGGGGGTAGTTGGAGGTGAGCAAAGGGGGCTAAAGTGGGGATGGAAAGAGACTTTGCTTGGTGTGATGGGCACACAGTGCAGTGTTCAGATGATGTTTTGGTGAATTGTACACTTGAAAACTGCATGGTTTTGTGAACTGAGGTCACTCCTATAAATTCAATAAAAAAGGGGGGGAGTCTAATTAGTCCAAATGAATGTATATAACAACTTGTTTTCACCATAATATAATGAAGTGTACCTTTCCTTCAAGTAATTTATTTGGATTTATGTATTAAAATTTATGTAAAGTCAAAATAAATAAATCATTCTTAGTTGCTAATTCACTGCTTTGCAAAAAATAGTCAAGAAAAATACTGCATGTCAGTAGTTGTACCTTTATTAAGATATACTCTACTTTATCATTATGTCTAATTACATAGGGGGTATTTGTGCATAAAATATACAGTAAAATATTCCTCAGTCTTGTTTTGAATGTGCTATAGAAGAAATTAAGGAATAACATTATTTATATTATTCCATAGTCAATAATACCCTGCAGGTATTCAGTTAAAAGGGAAAATAAAAGAATAAAGTCAGATGGCTACAGCAATTTACCTTGGTCGGTTTTCTTACTTTCACAGAGTAGTAAAATGAAATGGAGTTTTATTCTGTGGTGTTTATTTTATGTTGCATCATACATTTTTACATAAAATTTTATCAAGCTTACTTTAGTAGTTTAGTTTTGCTTTTCTACTGTAGCTTTTACAGGTTATTTAAGCTGAAATAATTCTTACCAACCTGAGTGTAATGGAATCTGCATCTATGTAGGATAACTGTTTGAATAATCACTTGAATACCTAGAAGGGATCTGATCACAATCATTAACCTGTGCATGCCATGTGATGAATGAATATAATTCAATATAATAAACCATGTAGCTATTTTCTTTTGCCCTTTTTGGCCTCCATATTTCCATCTCTATGCATTTATAAATAAAGTTCCTATTTTTTTGTAAACCAAGAGCCAACAAAATTTGTTTTCAGATTGCAATATTCATTTACTATGTTTAGTAGAAAAGTGTGCATGCTTATAAATTATACATATGTAATTATCAACACAAATAGACAAGTTTGGGTATCATGAGCTCAATGGAAGCATTCATTTGTAGGAAAAAAATCGTAGCTATTAAAATTACCTAAGTTTAAAGCCTCCTTTACTCTTGTGATTAAAAATAATGACAAAATAATCAAACAGACTCAGAGATACAGAGAACAAAGTGAAGGTTGCCAGATGGGAGGGAGTTCGGGGAGCTGGGTGACAAAGTGAAGGGATTGAGAAGTACAAATTGGTAGTTACAAAATAGTCACAGGAATGTAAAGTACAGAATAGGAAATATAGTCAATAATATTCTAATAGCCCAGCCAGCATGGCTCAGTGGTTGAGCATCAACCTATAAACAAGGAGGTCCTGGTTAGGGCATATGCCCAAGTTGCAGGCTCAATCCCCAGTGTGGGGCATGCAGGAGGTAGCGGATCAATGATTCTCTCTCATCATTGATGTTTTAATCTCTCTCTTTCTCCCTCCCTCTCCCTTCCTCTCTGAAATCAATAAAAATATATATATTTTAAAAAGTAATAACTATGTATGGCGCCAGGTGGGTATTAGAATTATTGGGGGATCATTTCATAAATTATGTAATTATCTGACCATTATTCTGTACAATGGAAACTAATCTATAATAATAAAAGCATAATATGCTAATTAGACCAGATGTCCTTCTGGACAATTTTCCGGACGATGCCGCCGCAGTGGGGGGGCCCAGCCCCTTGCACGAATTTCGTGCATCGGGCCTCTAGTATAAAAATAATATTTAATGACAACTGTAATTGAAAAATTTAGGGCAAAAGTCTAAGATTTCTACCTCTCCATCTAATTTTGGTGCTCCTATTTTTTTTTTCAGTTGGTATAAAAAGGGCAGTAAAAGTATAACTTTCTGAATATTCATTTAAAAACAAAAATAGACTTATTAAGAAATAATGTACACTACAAAGGTAAAAGTAGCCTTTTTACTAAAAATTTTAGTATATTTTTATGCATATTATAATTTACACATAATGTTTGTTAGTATTTTAAGTAGATGGTTCATTGAATCAACCTATTTTAAAGTTTTACAGCTGTTTTTTACCTTCTCTGAGAAAAACCAATGTGTATGGGTACATACATGTTTTCTCATATTTGACTAGAGGCCCGATGCACGAAATTATTATTATAGATGTTCCCATGACAATGTAGCTGTCACAACCATGTAACTATCACTGCCTATATGTTTGAATCTAGGAAGGACACTTTTAGGGAAGTTCATTTCAAGTATAAATTCTATGGGAATGTAAAGTACAGCACAGGGAATATAGTTAATAATATTCTGATAACTATGTATAGTGTTAGATGGGTGTGATATTTATTGGGATGATCACATATTGACATTAAGTTATGCAATGTCTATCACTGAAGTGTACACCTGAAACTAGTATAATAATGTCTGTCTGCCGAAACCGGTTTGGCTCAGTGGATAGAGCGTCGGCCTGCGGACTCAAAGGTCCCAGGTTCGATTCCGGTCAAGGGCATGTACCTGGGTTGCGGGCACATCTCCAGTAGGAGATGTGCAGGAGGCGGCTCATCGATGTTTCTCTCTCATCGATGTTTCTGACTATCTCTCTCCCTTCCTCTCTGTAAAAAATCAATAAAATACATTAAAAAAAATAAAATAAAATAATGTCTGTCAACTGTAACTGAAATAGAAAAATGACTCTAAAATGGGAAATAATAAATGATATTTAACACTATACAGGTTTTTTTTTTTACTTATTCTTATATAAACTAGTAGCATTTACTAAAATACTAAATTAATTTAAATTTATCTGCATTCCCCTGTTTATTTGGTGCATAACAATGCATTCACTATACAGTAACTCATTTTTCAAGAGCTTGGATTTATGTTTGGAAGATAGTTATATACATGATTAAAGGACAGTACAAACTAGCATAAATAATAAAGACTCACAAAGTCTAGTGAATTATTTACACTGAACACAGATAGAAAAAATAGTGTTAGTAGGCATATTTGTTTAGCCACACATTGAAAGATTGGGAATTCATTCAAGGTATGATGAAGACCGTGAGAGTGGAGAAGAGTGACAGCTGAGATTAAATTTCACAAGTCCTTAAGCTCTATGATCATATTATTCCCTTTTTCAAGAGTTTCCAAGGTATCCTGTGACCAGCAATGACCAAGCTATTAACATATTGACTATTTGATATATAATATATAACCTGGAAGAATCTGGTTTATTTCTAAAAATAATTTCCCATGACATTAATTCTTCTTTGTTGACTGAAGATGAATGTTTAGAAAGATGAATGTTTAGAAACTGAGCAAAAGACTGGCAAATGGGAAGAGGAAAAATTATAACTGAATATCCTTAACTTTTGCTGCCAGGTGTCTCCCTTCACTTTTTCAAATCAAAGGAATACATGCAAATGTTATTAAATCATGTAGTTCAAAAGGATCAATAGTGAACTATAACACCCTGTACCTTTTATGTTTCTATTTCCAGAGTCAGCATTTTTATCATTCCTGTTCTCAGTTTTTCTGTGAATTACCTTTATAAATATAAATCAGAGATTGGCAAGCTATGACCCATATGACAAATCCAGTGTGCTGTCTTTTTTTTTTTAAGGCCTATGAAATAGAATGTTTCACATTTATAAAAGATTGTTAAAAATCAAGACAAAGTGATTAAGATGAATATGTGATAGAGATTGAATATAATCACACACACCCACACATACAAACAAACATGATATCACTCATACTCATACCCAGTCTAGCGTTTGAATATGTATAGACATACCATTTCTCAGTGGGGCTGAAAGTATATAATCCTGTACAGCGGTAAGAATGCATGGAAAATGTGGGGAAAAGGTTGGACTAGAAGGCTACAGTAAAAATATGGCACCTGAATTAAGGCTTAAAGGAGTATCTACCAACACCATAACCTGACAGAGAGAGAAGGGGGTATGCCAGAAGAAATGGTGATGGCACACAAACATGGTTCATAAAAAAACCTAGGCTACATTTCTGAAATGGAGTCATTCTGATATTGAGAATCTCCTGTGTCAGAAACAGAGGGGATACTTTATTTTTAATTTACAAATAAATACAAAATAAGGATCATCTGTACCCTATTTAAGGAATATTTATTAATACATTCTATTTAATAGGATGAGAAGAAGAAACCGAAAGACTAGGAGATACGGAGTTTTGGACACTAATATAGAAAACATGGAACTGACACCTTTAGAACAGGATGATGAAGATGATGACAACACGTTGTTTGATGCCAATCATCCTCGAAGGTAAGTGTCCTGCAGTTTAATCCCATGAATAAGGAAGCAAGTCCTGAACAAGCAAATCGAAAAAATAAAGTACAGTTTCTCTTAATAGTTGTTATTCTAACAGATTTTATTTAGTTCTGTTTAATGAAGTTCTTTGTGCTACCCAACCAATAGCTCACATGCACATTGTTTTACGAAAGTAAACAAAGAATAGAATACCATCCCCAAAAGAAATCTTTATTGCAGATTTCCTTGCAGAAATTTGTCCTTTTAATTGCTGCATACTGGGAATATGTATTAACTCTGTGTGTGTGTGTGTTTGTGGTGGGGGGAGGGAGATAGTAAAATTGATTTTATTACTACATTCTGAAGATATTTTGGTGTTAATCGGGGTTACTCTGTTTGTAAACAGTGCTTCTTGGCAAAATTGTGGGACTAATGGTCTATGGTCTGGTAGTGTAGTTTTGTCTTTTCTCAGATCCAGCCTTGCGGAGTGTTAAGACCTTTCCTAGGAGGTTTGGATAAGTGAAATTATATGGATATAGAATTTCTTTCAGTGCAAATGAATGAGGAAAAGAGGCAGTCAAGATTCTAGTCAATACCGCCGAAACCGGTTTGGCTCAGTTGATGGAGCGTCGGCCTGCGGACTGAAGGGTCCCAGGTTCGATTCCGGTCGGGGGCATGTACCTTGGTTGCGGGCACATCCCTAGTAGGAGATGTGCAGGAGGCAGCTGATCGATGTTTCTCTCTCATCGATGTTTCTAACTCTCTGTCTCTCTCCCTTCCTCTCTGTAAAAAATCAATAAAATATATTTAAAAAAAAAAGATTCTAGTCAATAGAGGACATTTGGATAGAGGGGGAATTATTTGAATGAAGGAAAACTGGAGTCCAAACTTCATTGATTCAGTGAGCAGGACTCTGATGTTCTGATATTGGTATTAGAATTAAACATACATTATGCCATCTATTTATTTAACACTTCAAACTTACCCTGTAGGAAAGATGCATATAGATCTTATTATGACTCACTTTAATAACACATGATAATCAAATATAATGCCATTTGTTTCTCCCAATAAAGGTAAAAAATCAATACTAAAATGAAGACCGCATTATAAGGTCTTTGGGGCCCTGAAAGAAGACTTTCACCAGGGCTTTCCAAGACAGCCATATATGAAGAAACCATGAAATGGGTGGTAGTGGTGGGATGTCAGAGGGATAAGATCAGGGGCCCTATTACTGAGCCCAGGGAGAAGCCTGGACAGAGTGGGGCAACAGAACTGCAGTAGGGGTGATTGTAATAGTCACTTGTTGATAAATACCTACTTTAGAGCAGGATGTGCCAGACACGGTGCTAGGCTCCCTACCTGAACTACATGAAATAAAGACACTCTTGCAAAGTAGTTCCGGCTTTCATTTTAAAGATAGGAAAACTGAGGCTCAGAGAGTTTAAATGATTTAGACTTATCTTCCTGCTGCATTCTCACTCCATTTATTAAATACTTATATGATTTATACCTATGAAAAGAATAATGATAAATTATGTTTGTTTTGTTATCTAAACCAGCACTTGCTATTATTCATTTTCAAATGAGGACCCTAAAAATGAGAAATACAAATATTTTGTTTTGCCTCCCTTGTCAGTTGCAATGCAAAATCATATTAGTCTACAGCAGTGATGGCGAACCTTTTGAGCTCGGCGTGTCAGCATTTTGAAAAACCCTAACTTAACTCTGGTGCCGTGTCACATATAGAAATTTTTTGATATTTGCAACCATAGTAAAACAAAGATTTATATTTCTGATATTTATTTATATATTTAAATGCCATTTAACAAAGAAAAATCAACCAAAAAAATGAGTTCGCGTGTCACCTCTGACACACGTGTCATAGGTTCGCCATCACTGGTCTACAGTATAACTGCTGGTAATTCTTGTTGGCTCATCTTTTACTATGCTGCCTTCATTGTTTAAGTGCTTTCTAAAATTAGTTCCTCCTCATTTTCCAAATTCTATCCACAAAATAACAGGAAGCAAGTTATTTCCAGAAAGGTAAATGGATTTCCTTGCTTACAGTTTTACCACAGTATAAAATAAGCCTTTTGTCATTAGCCCTTTCTGAAAGGGATGTTTTTTTAATGTGGCTTTTAATATGTCAAGTTTTTAATAATGATTCTGGTTGGTAGTTAGGACTTGAGGTAATTATTTTCACTATTGATATTAGATTGAACAATCTGAAACTGTCAAATATTGTTTAGTCTAAATTTTCTAAAGAGGATATATTCAGATGGAAGATGTCACAGGTAGGGCTGACTCCAGGCACAGTATTTCTGGGCTCTTTCTTCTTTTCTCCATGATCCCCTTGGTTCTGCCCATTTTCATGTGTTGGCTTCATGGTATTTAAGTTACATGTATTATGACAACTTTTAATTTGTTATTGTTACTCATTTTTAGGCTGACAGTAAGATGATGTCAGCAGTTCCTATGACATTCAGAATGATAGCTTTCCCTAGAAGTTATGCACTAGCTCTCTTGTAACTGTTTCTTAGAAATGAGAAAAATTTCCCTAGAAACTCTTAACAGAATTGTTTTCTGGAAGTGACTTGCTGCTTGTTATTTGTTTTTGTTTTTTATATCATTGGTCATGTAATCATTTCTAAACTAAGCCTGGGAAGTCCTAGCCGGTTTGGCGTAGTGGAGAGAGTGTCGGCCTGTGAACTGAAGGGTCCCGGGTTAGATTCTGGTCGAGGGCAGATGCCCAGATTGTGGGCTCGATCTCCAGTAGGGGGCATGCAAGAGGCAGCCGATCATTGATTCTCATCATTGATATTTCTCTCTCTCTCTCTCTCTCTCCCTCTCCTTTCCTCTCTGAAATCAATAAAAATATATTAAAAATAAAATAACCCTGGGAGGGGGGGAAATCAAAGTGCCATGATTAGATCAGAATTATCTTTGGGAATTGATTGGATATTAAAGAGTTCACCACCACCACCATATCTAGTAATTTAAGCATAGAGGTTAATACAGTCTAATAGGGAAAATTTGTAGGTATGTGGAAAAAATTAACTTGAGCAGCTTGGTTACCTTCCCTTGAATTTGCTATTGATATCCTAATTTTATATATTAAAGGCATTTTTTTTGCTTAGTTATGGAAACATTTTACACAAAGGAATTATAAAACTAAAACACAAATAACAATTATTTAACTATTATGTAGGATGCTTCAGCCTTCTTAGAAATTTTGATGAGGAATCTAAGAGCATATTCTGATTAAAAACTACTTGCATTTTCCTCAAGCGAAACAATATATTTTATATATTTAACATAATTTTAAAATATTGGGAACAAATACTCATAACCAGTATCAAAAATACAATTTAAAACAGTGCTTTACAACACAAAACAACAAATGGGAACAATACCTTCTTGCTATTTTGTTTGATTCCTACTAAACAGCAAAATTATTATTATTTTATAATCTACACTAAAGGGAATTTTGACAATTCTAGCAACTTCTAAAAGCTAGTAATTCTATTACTTCAAGGCTATTCTAATAATTTTTGCCAAGTTTGTAATTTTTAAAGTTCCTAAATTTTCTTTTTAGCTACTTCTATTCTGCATCATTAAGTTTAATATTGTATTGTATGTGTTCATTACATTTGTAGGCAGTGTTACTTGGCCACAAAATATTTTTGTTTTTTAACATCAGCATATCATAATCAGAAGGCAGATTCAAGTGTTTATCCAGAAAGCCTCATTAAAAAGACTTTATTTAAAGTTATCAATTGGGCCCTAGCTGGTTTGGCTCAGTGGATATAGCGTTGGCTCGCGGACTGAAGGTTCGGTTCCAGTCAAGAGCACATGACCAGGTTGTGGGATCGATCCCCAGTGTAGGGAGTGCAGGAGGCAGCCAATCGGTGATTCTCTCTCATCATTGATGTTTCTATCTCTCTCTCCTCTTCCTTCCTCTCTGAAATCAATAAAAAATATATATTAAAGAAAAAGTTACCAATTGGAAAATAGTTTTAATTTCTAAAACACTACTTTTAACATGGAACATAACATATTATCAGAATAAGCACTAAGGTTATTCTATTAAAGTCAATTATGTGAAGGTGTAACTTGGTATGACTATGAACTAATCTTTAATTACACTAGTTACATATAAAATGTCTTTGAAAAGGTTAGAATTATAATGTAAAAGATAGCACCTGACATAATTAATATAGACAAAATCACAATCTGTTTTATTGGTGCAATTCATTATAATTCCCTAATATTAAATACTTTTATTATCTTCTTGCCACTCCAAATCTGTGGGAATATTTTAAAATATGTTTAAATTTATTCCAGGATGAGCATTTACAGTATTTTTTTCCCCTTGCAGATAAGAATGTGCCTTTTGATGAGAGGATTTCATCTTTCTACAATGAAGAGCAGAATTTTTATGTTTAAGGAATAAGAAGCCACTTTATCAATGGGGGGGTATTTAAGTTACATGTATTATGACAACTTTTAATTTGTTATTGCAATAAGTACTGTATAATTTTGCTAAGTTTTTGTATGTATAGAAGAGCTCTTAATGGGCTTAGAGTTATTTGGAGTAAACTGTGGTATAATAGGAATCTGTTTGAAAATTAATTTAAGACAGAGTGTTTTCTGATCAGTTTTTGTTTCCTGCTTACAATATTATTGTAAACTGTTTTATATACTAATCAGATTTTTGTTGTTGTTTTTTTGTGTGTGTTTTTTGTTTGTATTTTGCTGGTTAAGTATTTTTTTCCTGGAACTATCAATTCCAACAACTAACTGGTGTGTAATAATAATTTTAAAAGTTCTTTATCAAGATATATTTCCCATTTTTATGGGGAAAAGAATCCAAATTTATTACTTTGCATTTGGGTCTTTTAAATATTAATAAATGTCTGAATTGTATGCAAAACAATAAATATGATTCAAAATTATTTTTAAGTGGTACAGACAAAATGTGTTTACAAAATAAACCCAGACTATTGAATTATATATTAACATGTGTATTTTATAGGATTTCTAGAAAATATTGTCATAAAAGGGTTATTACATTTTAGCAAATTTCTTATTAAATTAAGATATCTACTTTGATTAGATATTTGAGAAACCACTGAATTTCAAAGCCATTTTTTTTAGTAATAGAATTGAGAAAGATAGAAATAATAGCATAAACATTTTAGTCTCATTACAGTGAGTAAGGAATTAAAATTAAAAGTAAGTAAATAAAAATGAACACCACCTCCTCAGAGAAGTGCCCGCCCAGGCGAGACCGTCCTGACATTCTCTCAGCGTATCCGTGACAATGCAACTGTTCCGGTGTCTGCTCTTCCCCAGCTGGACTCCTCTCTGTGAGGGCGGCTGCCTGCACATGGCGGGCACAGGCATCAATGCCTCTTTCCTGAGTAAGTCAACAGCCCACAGAGTAATAATAAAAGCCAGTGTTTACTGAGCACGATCTATATCCAGGAACCGCGCTGAGCTCCATGCAGACAGTGGGTCATGACAGTCGCATGATGGCTGCACCATGATTACTCCCATCTCTGGCCACTGCAGCTCTCTTCCAGAAAAAGGCCCCAGCCCAGTGTCTTCATGTCACTGGAGCACAAGGAAGGGAGGAAGGGAGACCTCTGGCCAGCCCAAGTACACAGACTTGGGAGTCAGATAGACCTGGGTGCAAACAGTGACTTCATTATTTCTGAGCAATTATTCAACCTTATTGAGCTTCAGTTTTTCACATTCTAAAAATTAGAGGAGAACTTACAGCAAAGACATGGGTCACAAACTTAGTTCCTTACAGAGGCTGGGGAAGTGATTTAAATGTGTGTGTCAGTCAGGATAGGCTTGAACATGTAGTAGCAACAGATGGTCCCCAAATCACAGTGGGTTACAACATAGATTTATTTCTCAGTTAGGCTGCCTATTTGCTATGGACTGTGATTTTGCTATTCGCTGTCTATTCTCCAGGGCTACGGCTAATGGAGAAACCTCTGCCTGGAATAGTGCCTCATAGCTAGATGTCCAGACTTGTCAAAGTGCATGCTAGTTCATAAGTTTCTGCCCTAAAGTGATATATTTCATTTGCACTTACATTTTATTGGCCCAACTTTACAGCCATTTCAGAGTTCCATAAGGCAAGACTACAGGTAATCCTCTTACAATGAGGTAAATTGGGTATTTGGCCACCCAAAATGCCAACTTAGTTTGACCTATATGCTCACTGGCATACCACAACGGGTCAAATTTCCTGATGTCAGTGTATTTGTATATATTATGCAAGCAGGGATTGAAGCAAAAATGCATTTCCTCTTCTAAAGGGATCAGCCTCCATTCAGCTCCCAGTAATTCTAACAGGAAATACTTGCCTAGTGTTGCTAAATCCTTTAATTTTAATTTTCAAGCCAAGACTTCAAATTTGTTACATAAAGTTTCCTCATTTTAAAATGTTATTAAAACATACTTTTGGATTAAATAGCCCTATACCTACCATTTTGTGATATTTGAAAAATCATATCCCATAGTATCTTAGAAATAGTGATCATTCATATTAATCATTTAATAACTGATATTTATAAACTAAATTTTATATTAAAACTAGAGGTAAGAAAACTGCTGGAGAATAAAAATTTATTAAGATAACTTACACATCGATCAGACCATCAAACCTCAGAGGGACGGAAGGGGAGGGTGGGGATCAGGGGGAGAGATCAACCAAAGGACTTGTATGCATGCATATAAGCCTAACCAGTGGACACAGACAACAGGGGGGTGAGGGCATGAGCAGGGGGGTCGGGGGTAATGGGAGAATAAGGGCACATATGTAATACCTTAAATAAATTTTTAAAAAGATAACTTACAGTAATGATAATTTTCTTTTTACAAAAATTTTTTAAGGATTTTTTACTTTTACAGATGGAAGAAGAGGGAGGGAGAGACAGACACATTGATGAGAGGGGAAACATCGATTGGCTGCCTCCTGCACTCTCTACCAGGGATAGAGCCCAAAACCCGAGCATGTGCCCTGACCTGGAATCAAACTGGCAACCTTTTGGTGCATGGGTTGATGCTCAACCACTGTGCCACACTGGCCGGGCTGTCATGATAATTTTCATAAATGATTTTCAAGTTGGTTGAAAGGGGATGTTACCAAAATGTTTTAAGCAGTGGTGTCAACTTTATTAGAAATACACATTTTCTCTAGGTGACTAAAGAGAATATTTTTCAACTGAATATGGAAATTCTGGCATGTTTGTTGAAAATGCTTTTATATCATTACTTTCATATAGTCATTCATGAACTGCAAATCTATTATAATCATCATAATAAGCTATACTTTGAGTAAAGTGCCAGATAGCACACTGAAATTTAGGTTCTTTAGATACATTGATGAAATGGTAGGATTTTCACCTACAAACATGCTGATGAAATGGTTAGGATTTTCGCCTACAAAGCTGTATGTATATAATAAAATAGCTGGTGATATCTTAGATGTTGTGAAAACATGTTACTATTCTTTTCCATTTGTATTTCCTTTTGGTTGTTTTATTGACAAAAGCCTAACCAAGGAATTAGAGGTCAGTGGACACTAGTGTAATTGTGTTCTAGCTCAGGAGACAAGTAAATGGAGAGAAAGGGTAGGTTTGGAGTAACTTATAGCTATTCTACACTTGAACTGGAAGTTTCTGACCAGCCACTGTGTGGGGCTTGAAAAGCAAGTTACTTCTTTCAGCCTAATTTCTCATGATTAGGAGGTAGATAACAACTGCTGAGCTGGTGGGTGCTCAGCCTTCTCCTTGTCAGACTCTAGATGGATTTGAGTTTAGTTACCTGACCAAGGATATAACCGTTCACCTTTTGTTACTTAGCTTCTCTTTAAATATTTTTTTGGTGTACTTTAATTTTATTCATTTTCACTTATTGGTTATAGCTTTACCTAGTTTATTTTCCTAAGTGAAACAATAAAGGAAAGCTAGTTTGCTTCTCTCATGTTAGGAGGTAAAATGATTGAAAGAATGAGTGTAGTGAAATAATCCATTCTATAAATATGTGACTGGAATGCCTATTTTCAATATATTTTGACTGCTCATACCAATATCATGTTACAAGAAAAAAAGTAAAGGTAGAAGGGAAGAAATTAGGGGATGGACATTCCCTTAAACTTTCATGTCTGGCTGGGTCAGAAACCGATGATATTGCACGTTCCATGAAAAGATCCTATTACTGAGCCACAGTATAGGATGTATATCCAGGTTTCTGGCTCTATTTTTGCATCTGGCTCTAAATATATGTGTTTTTATATGGGTTTCTCTGCATTCTTATTATACAGATTCCTTTAGTACCCATGCTATGTTACTGGGGATAAGGCAAAATCAGATATTTTTTTGTCAAATAGACATATGAAGCAAACTAAACCAAACATCTTTGATAGTTATTTCTCTCAATCTTCCAGGATCCTTTTAGGGGAATCCTGGGCCCACATCTATTGTTATTACTTTAAAGGGATTCGGAGGTCATTTTATCCTCTGGCTCTGCTCATCCTCTTGCCTGAAGAAAGGTCTTGCTTGACAGAGAGTGCAGCTCAGACTGCTTGGTTTTATTTTTCAGTCCTTTACCACCAAAACAGGACGGATGGCAATCTTTCTGCTTCAGACTATTCAGACTTTAGCTCTTATCCTTTTGTTTTATGCATTTTTCCCAATGAATCTATTATTAGTATTCATCCATGCGGGGTCTAACCTCCTTTCCTAAAATAGAACATATTTCCCTTCCCTTTTTTGTGCAGCTGGATTGATTGTGGCTCCTACCCAAGCTCCTAAAAAAAACAAACACACACACAAAAAAAACCAAAAAAAATGTCTTTATACCTCCTCCTAACTGGACCCTCAGACAATTTTCCAACTATATTTTACTCAGTAAGTTTCTCACGGACCAATGGCTTTTTTTGGATAAATCAGCTAAATGTTAGGCACACTAGTGCCAATGTAGTCAGGGAGGCCTAGGAAGCCTACAGACTTCCAAGCAACAGGCACATGACATTTGATTAGTTGCCCTTGGCTTGTCATATTTGCAGTAATAATACACCATGGAGCTATGGATTTAACAAATCCTAAGATCTAAGGTACAATCTTTCAGAAGAGACAAACTCTGGAAATTTCTGCTGGTAATTGTTTTTTTTTAATTGGAATATGGCAAGTAATCATCCCAATTCTTTATTTGGTCTTTTCTAATAGGTTTTAATTTTTATTCCACTATATATGAATTTTATTTCACAATATTCCATAGGTTTTTGTTTTGTCTTCTCTGACTCTGGTAAAACAGACTTTGGCAGATAGGGGTGGATTACTCAAGCTTATTTCTCACATCCACAGGGGTCTGCTGCTTATTGCTCCTGAATTATTTGCCATCATGATACCTAATATTTCTAGCAAAAGCACCTTCTCTGGATATCTCTGTATAGTTTTACTTAACTTTTATCTTCTTTGTGATGTACATGATATAAAAAAACAATTATAACTGAGGATCCAAAACTATTAACTGGACCAAAGAGATTCTTCTTAGACATGTTGAGGAGCAAAAGGCTTCTTTTCTGCAGGAAATGTGATGATTTCCGAGTCTGTGAAAATATTTTTAAAATATGCATGTGCTGGTCCTACACTCAAGTATTCCCATTATTTTGGCATAGGGAGTGACCTATCTGTATCTGTTTTGTGAGAAAGCTCCACAGGGATTCTGTTGTAAACTCAGAAGATCCTCTGCCAGTCTGAAGACAAACCACATCAGGATGAAGAGCAGAGTTTCAGAGACTGACAAACCCTGTGCAGAATTCTGGTGCCACCAGTTTCCCCAACTCAGTTATCTTCACTATTTCTTTTCTTTTCTTTTCTTTTCTTTTTTTTTTTTTTTTTTTTTTTTTTTTTTTTTTTTTTTTTTTTTTTTTACAGATTGTTCTCTGCAGGTAACTAGTAATACAGTCTAATTAAACACATATGTCCTAAAA